AGCTCATGTGTTGACACTCACAACAAAATGGGGTAGCAGAAAGGAAGAAAAGACATTTACTGGAAGTTGCTAGATCCCTTGTGTTCACCACTCACACTCCAACACTACTGAGGAGAGGTTGTCCTAACTACAGCTTACCTGATAAATAGGATGCCTTCCAAAATTCACCAATTTAAAACCCCATACCAAATCCTATCTAATCTACATCCTCACATCCCTCTTACCACTCTCCCACCAAAGGTCTTTGGTTGCAAAGCATTTATTCACAACCATTCTCCACTTAGGTCAAAACTGGATCCCAAATCCTTACCTTGTACTCCCTCCGTCCCCTTTTAAATGTCCCGGAAGAGGGTGACACGAGTTTTAAGAAAAGTGGGTTTGTGTGGTTGATGTTAATTGATAAAGTAAGAATAAAGTAAGAATTATTTTGAGCCACACAAACTTTACCAAATAAGGTATGCGACATTTAAATAGGGACATCCCAATATGGTAAAACGATACATTTAAAAAGGGACAGAGGGAGTATGTTCATAGGATATGCTGTCAACCAGAAAGGATACAAATGTTATTTTCCTACCACCAAAAAGGTCTACATCACAATGGATGTTACCTTTTTTGAAAATCAGTCTTTCTATTCCAAAACTGAATTTCAGGGAAAAAATCACAATGAAATTCAGTCTTTGAACCTTATTTAAGACATTATTCCAGACCTCCAAAAACCTGAATCTAACCACACTAAACCCATACTTTCACACAGACCTGAATCAATCTCTCTAGACAATACAGTCTCCCCATCAGCCTCACCATTTCAACCACCAACTTCATCACCTCAAAATCCTACACTAAATCAAAATTCCCCATTCTACAAGAATACCTACAAGAGGAAACCTAGAATCAGAGTTCCAGAAGAAGAGCACATCACTCCAATTAACACCACCCAATCATCTGACTCAAATCTGAATCCTGATGACAAAGAGGTTGAGGCTATAAAAGGAGATGAGGAGAAACAAGACTTGCCTATTACAGGGAGTGTACCAAGCATCCTATCTACAATTTTGTTTGTTATAAGAAACTATTAGCAAACTATCAAGCTTTTATTTCAAAGATTAATAGTATTTAGGTTCCTAGCAACATCAAGGAAGCCCTTGAACATCTAGGGTGGAGGAAGGCTGTCTATGATGAATAAGCATCATTGATAAAGAATGGAACATGGGTGCTTACAGATTTTCCAAGGGAAGAGAACTGTTGGCTGCAAGTGGGTATTTTCAATTAAATATCAGGCAGATGGAAAGATTGAAAGGCTGAATGCAAGGCTGGTTGCTAAGGGGTTCACCCAAGCTTATGACATTGATTATTCAGAGACATTTGCACCAGTGGCAAAGTTTTAACACCATTAGAGTATTGCTATCACTCGCAGTGAACCTAGAACCTAGACTGACCATTACATCAACTAGAAGTTAAAAATGTCTTTCTTAATGGAGACCTAGAAAAGGAAGTATTTATGGATGTACCATTAGGGTTAGAAAACTTGGTGAAATCTGGCCAGATTTGCAGACTGACAAAGTCCTTGTATGGACTAAAGCAGTCTCCTAAAGCGTGGTTTGATAGTTTCACAAAATCAGTTGTTAAACAAGGGTTCATGCAATGTTAAACAGACCATACACTATTTGTAAAAAGGGCAAATTCTGGTAAAATGACTATTCTTATAGTATTTGTTAATGATATTATCAGGCGAAATTGACACCAATAATCCCTACTTTTAGGCATTTTACAAAAATAATCCCTACTGGAAAAGTTCACAACAATAATCCCAATCGGATAATTGTTTCACAAAAATAAACCGGAAGTTAACGGTGTTAACTTTTTCTTTAATTCCTTTTTTGAAATTTAAAATAAAATGAACTAAATATACATAAAACCATTAATAATATTGTTTTTTGTTTAGTCTTATTTCTAATCTAAATTTAATCTAATAATAAATATTTTTTTGTAAAATATAGAGCCCGTTTGGTAGCACAAAAATCGCCTGTTTTGGCTGATTCTGCTAAAATTTATGAAGTTATGGCTGAAGTGTCTGAAGTGGCTGATTCTGCTGATTTAAGAAGAAAAAAAATTAAAATATGTTTTATTAATAAAATAAAGAAAAAATTATATGTAAAAATAGCTAAAATGGTCATCTACAGTAACTTCAGCCAATACAGCTAGAAAAGTAACTCCAGCCTTCCTTTTTCTGCTTATTACACAATTCAGCGCGCGAAAGAAAAAGTTACATGTTTGGTGAAAAAGTTGGCTGATAAGCCTTATAAGCCGAAAAACAGTGTTGCCAAACGCCCTCATAATATAAAAAAAACTAAACACATACCTGTATTCATTTTAGTAATATTTAATATAGAGTTACTAATATTAATTTTAAATCTCTATTATTATAATGAAATAACAATGAATATAAATAAAATATTGATTAGAACTAAGCGAAAAAAAAAGAGAATTTGATGAGTATGTTCTTAAATATTTATATTACATTTTATGAAAAAATGACTATCAAAATTTATTTTATAATAAAAGTAAACATAAGGGAAAATATACATAGTATATAATATTGTTGATGATTATACACATTTTTGCTTCATTATATTTAAAATGCAAAAAAACTAAACGGATAAGCTAACACCATTAACTCCAGGTTTATTTTTGTGAAAGAGTTAAATAGCTCGGATTATTGTTGTGAACTTTCCCGGTAAGGATTAATTTTTGTAAAATGCATAAACGTAGAGATTATTTATGTCAATTTTGCCACATTATTATGACTGGGGATTATAAGGCTGAATTGGATAGATTGAAGGCTCATCTAGCAAGAGAGTTTGAGATCAAGGAACTAGATGAGTTGAAGTACTTCCTTGGAATGGAAGTGGCAAGATCTAAGAAAGGCATTTTCATTTCACAAAGGAATATGTCCTAGACTTGTTAAGTGAAACTGGAATGCTTGGAGTGCAAACCTAGGGACACTCCTATGGGCTATGAATATATCAAAGAAGTTAGGCAGTCAGAATGAAAGTCCACCAGTTGATAAGGGTAGATAACAAAGGCTGGTAGGGAAGCTAATCTACCTATCTCACACACGGCCAAACATTGCTTCTCAGTAAGTGTGGTAAGTGAGTTCATGAATGATCCAACTGAGGAACATCTAACTGCAATCTATAGAATTCTGAGGTACCTGAAAATGACTCGTGGAAAAGGATTGTTGTTTCAAAAACAGGGGACAAGGAAGATTGAAGTGTTTACTTATTCACCTGGAGGAGCAAGAAAAAATTAGTGGTTTTGAGAAGTAGTGCAGAGTCTGAGCTCAAGGATTTATCACAAGGAATCTGTGAAGGATTATGGTTAAAAAGATTGATGAATGAGCTCAAGCTTCCATTTGAAAGCTCCGTCCAGATTTCATGTGATAACTAGTCTACTATCAGTATTGCTAAGAATCTTATCCATCATGACAGGACCAAACACATTGAGATAGATAGATTCTTATATTAGAATATTGCAGCAAAGGATATCCAGCTGAGCTATGTTCCAACCAGGCAGCAAATAGCTGATATACTAACCAAGGCACTTCCCAAATTCAGTTTGAAGACTTATCTAGCAAGTTGTGCATGGAGATATCCATCACCCAGCTTGAGGGGGAGTGTAGATTATTACAGATCATTCTAATTACTCACCCGATTGTGCATTTATGAGGAGATGTCTTAAAGATCTCAGAATATCTAAATATTCCCAAATATCTTTTCTTTATTAGAGAACCTTAATTAAGAGGATTCCTTCCTTATTTCACTTTTCTCTAACTATATACTTCCTCCGTTCCATAATTCTTGCAACATTGTGATTTTTACACTATTCACAGATCTTACTTTGACCATGATTTTCTACTAATATACATAATCAAATTATTACGTATGAAATGTTATTGAACTCTTATCAATGTGAATTTCCAAAATATCAACTTTTTATAATGTCTACTAATACATAATTAAATATAATTACAGTCAAAGTTGTGCATTGGCAAACGTGAAAGTCAAACTGTTGCAAGAATTATGGAACGGAGGATAGTATATTATGTAATCTTCTCCTTGTATTACAAGGAACAAATAAACAAAATACATTCTTCTTTCTCGAGTTCTTTCTACACCATCTTAAAGTATTTGTCCCATACCGGAAAACTATAAAACAATAAAACCAGTGTTGTCAATCCCGGATAGTGGAGCGTAGCGGCGAGCCCCAAAAACGCTATAGCGATATAGCGGATAGCGGGATGGCCGCTATTTAGACTACTTTCAAATATATAGATAAGTAACTACTAGAAGCATATGTAATACATACATATGAAAAAAAATACTCTTTGCCTTACTGAAAGCATATGTTTTAACTATGCTAAGGTACACCTAAGGTCTGCAAAGAGACTATTGAAACTAGATGGTTCACCCACCTAAATTGCATAGAAATACTCTTTAGTTTCATACTTTCATGAGCAAAACATAAGTTGCTATTAATAATTAAAACATCTTAAATCAAAACATTAAGTCAAAAACAAGGTTCTAGTGTAAGAGTTTAAGCCTTCCAAGCTGGGTCAAGATGTTCTCCTGTGGGCTTAAACAAGACAGTAGACTGACTAGACTCCATACGAGAAGAAGAAGAAAGAAGAAGAAGAAAAGAAGACTGCAGGTCTGCAGCAAAGCTGTTGGAGAAGAAGATACTAGTCATACTACTGAAGGCAGAGGAGGGCAGCATGTATCGTTCTTGGAGGAGAAGTCATCGCAGAGCAGCACAAATAGATGATGGTCATTCTTGGAGAAGGAGCCATCGCAGAGGTGCAACGGACTATTTTCAAAAGCTGGCTTCGGTTTGAGCTTTTGGTAGCCTTTAACTTACGTCTAAAGGGTTTTAACTAGGTTAATATTTTGTTTTAAAAGTCTAATTTACCCCTTCTATGTTTGAGCATGCATCACCCATACCTTGATTACCGGAGATTCTTTAGAGACAGAACCAAAATCATAATTGAAAACACCAAGCCCAATAATATCCAATGCCAAATTTGAAAATTCTGACTCAAGATCCAATTCCATTGTTTTTTCACCCTTTGAGTCTTCTTCTGCTTCTATAAGCTTTTCAAATTTCAACATTGTTCTTTCAGAACAATCGGTGAATACTTTCGTCATAGCTTCCAAGTATGAAGTGTGGAATCCAGGGGCAATGACTGTAGATCACATGAGTAAATAATTGGAACATACTACATAGGTACATAAGTACATAACTATTAAGATTTAAGGGTATGAAAATAAAAAATGCACATAAAGTATGTCTGATATATAAGAGTGCCACACGTCTACAGTAAGATTTATGTTGACATGGTGAGAAGAAACACTTTAAAGTAGTTAAATCGAGTCTAGCAACATATGGCATTATGCTGTCACTTTACCGACCAATGTTAAATATATCAAAATATTGCAGTTTTAACTATTTTATAATGCAACATGGTGTGATGCATTTGCAAATAAGCTCATTACATGCATTACTTATCGCAAAGATGTAGAAACGCATTCGTAATTAAACTTTGACCAATTAGTGACTGAAGAAATGCAAAGTGTTTTTCAGGACTGAACCAACTTAAATCTCAAAAGCCAAACACACCTCTTCTCCTTTGTTTCCAAGTATCAAGGTCGGCAGGTATTAGTCCTTTTCCCATTATAGGTTCCAAAATTTCAGCGAGAACTCCCTGTTTGAAAGCAAGAAATGCCATAGGTTGTTTTGTTCAACATATTCGTTTTGCTTATCACTAAATCTTATTTTAATCCAATAATGCTGAACTGAAAAGTTCAGATATGAAAAGCCTAGCCCAGAAAGACCAAATCCGACCAAACCAAAGGATATGTTTGAGACAAGAAAATTAGACATGATCACTAACATTCAAATCAGGCCAAAAAGATTCAGACCAAATACTAGACCAAAACAGATTTTAAAAAAATCAGACCAGGTCACATTTTTTCAAGCGAGAACAAGTCCATAATCTAAAAGAAATAAGACCAATGCATGGCAAGTTGGCACAATCTCTCTGTACCAGTTTGCACAAATTTGAAAGAAAAATATCTCACAAAAGAAAATATATAGTAATCTAAACTCTAAGAGATTAAGATAAAGAAACAGTCCTTACAAGAAAAGCTCCACAATGAGTGACTAGCCACAATGCATACCTTGTCATATGAGAATGCATTTTCACGAAGAATATGCCTAGCCACAATGGGGTCCGATACAACAACAAATGCTTTTGGCCCAAAAGCAAGTTTGTACACCGAGCCATACTGTTGATTCAGTAAAGCCAAATTAAAAAATTTATAATATATATAATGAAAAAACAGGGTGGCAATGTAAACAAAAACATTGCAAATAGGCAAGTACTGGCTTCAAGCATCAAATAATTAAGCATGTAGCTTGCAAGTGAAATAGATCAATCATCAATGTTTGGTTTTTCAGAGGCTATTCACCAAAAAGTCATTTGAAAGCACTAAATCCCTAAAAGGCAACATCTAATACAGCGGTTTTTATATTTTGCCTCATTTCCCTTACTCACCGGCAGATCTAAATTATACAGTTATGAATTGATTTTGTCATTTAACCATAACCACTACATACATACAACAACAACAACAACATTAACCCAGTGCCGCAAAGGCTCCCACCTACAGTAGGGTAAGGGGGGTTGGATGTACGCAGTCTTACCCCTGTACTAAAGCAGGGAGAGACTGTTTCCAGATGGCCCATGATGAAAATTGTGACGAAAATTGCATGGAGTGACTGATGCTACATAACAAAGAAGCGTAGACAGCTTAGTGAGCTATTTTGCTTTATTCCATCATATTCCCAAATCCCAAACTAAAAATAATGAGTCTTTGGCTCCATAGGAAATGATAGAATAACCATAACCACTCATCATCATCATCATCATCATCATAATCATCATCATCATTACCCCAGTGCCGCAAAAGCTCCCACCTATGGTGGGGTAAGGGGGGTCAGATGTACGCAGTCTTACACCTGCATTGAAGCACGGAGAGACTGTTTCCGGATGACCCATAGTGAAAATCGCGTCAAGAATTGCATGGACTAACCGTTGCTTCATAACAAAGAAGCGCAAACAGTTTAGTGAACCATTTTGTTTTATTTCATCATATTCCCAAAAAAAATAGTAAGTCTTTGGCTCCATTGCAAATGATGGAAATGGAATAACCATAACCACTCCATATGTTTAATAAAATAATGATATACAGAGTAATAGCTAAATATTCACTGCAATGAAGATACAAAGAGCTAAACAAAACAAGTAGATCATGTTATAGTGCTACACACAATACCTCTAAGAACCAATCGTACAATGAGAAGAAAAGCGGTTGACCAAAAAGATCAGAGACGGCACCTTCAGCAATTGGCATGGATCCAATTTTACTCCCACTCAACAAATTTGTGAGGAGATTGCTTGCATTATCTAAAAAATTCATCCTTGGTTTCCTCTCATCTGTTCTAGTCGATTGGCACCTGTATTGCGGTTCAAATTCACTTCATCCTCCGTCAAGTAGACTTGCAACTTTTAAATTTTTTACATATAAATGAAACGTTGTAAATGCATTATTGGAAAATAAGCTGAATAAGTGCTAGTCAACTGGAAATTCTGCTCCTATTTTTGCATTTAAATATCAGGAAAATTACTTAGTCCAACTTCCTTTCTATTTCTGAAGTGTAGCCTATGTTTGCACCTATACTAATAATAGGTATCACATTGGCATATCCCATATAAGTACTTTTTAATGCAAGTATCATACACATTGGAACCATATAGGCCATTTCCAAATAGTAACACATCATTTTTTAACTTGAAAAAACAAAAACTGGTGATATCCATATTGCCAAGCAAAACACATATCAAGCCAACTTACAAAAAAATGGGTTGTGGCCTTGTGCAAGGACATAACCTTACACCTTCTAATCATCTAATCTAGTAACGAGTATCCTAACATGCTACTCCCTCCATCCCATATGTAAGATACACTGCCCTTTTTGTGTTGAACCATAAATTGAACTCCACTAACTTTTTATTTTCCTACACTTTCCTTAGTGAACACAAACTGTTGTTTCTTAATTTTTGGAGGTTGGAACTGTAAAACAGTAACTTTATCCATTATTTTCTTAAAACTTGTCCCAAACCCAAATTTATCTTACATTATGGGACAGAGGGAGTAATAACTAGTTACTTACTCCGTAATAATCAATACTTGAATAATTCCAATTACTTATTTAAATTTTCAGTGTTGTTTTAAAACTCCAAATTTACTTTATACTCCTTTGCATTTATTCAGATTTTGAAAACCAAACATATTGAGTATGTCCTACTTGGCAGCTCTGAGGAAAGTGAGATGCAGGTATATCTTACATCTGGCCTATGAGTAAAGGCTTCCATGAAGACCCCATGTTTTGGGAAGTTTGGAAGATGTAACGTTTATTCATACATTAGTAATTTTACTAACTTTATAAAACTACAGTTTTACTTTATTATGCATATAAATATCCACTGGGAATATGAGCTTCTGTTTTGGAAATTTAAAACATCTACTCATATCCTTGAAGGCTTGAACATTGATTATGTTTTACTCATGTTTAGGTAAATAACATGAGTGTTTTCCCTAAATCAGAGTATTGTGTTTTCATTCCCTAAATGTAAGTATCCAATCCATCTATGCCCTCCATAATTTAGTACATTACATTTATCGCATAATGCTCCAAATTTAACTGATTATAAATATGAAAATGTCATTATTTGACTGCGGCAGTATATAGAATGCCATTATAGTTATCAAAATCACATTATTACTTTGAAAGCATAATAATTTAGATTTACTCTCAATTATATTTATTTTAATATTTTGTCGTCAATATGAATACAGAAAGTTCCACCTTTTTACTACTCCCTGGGTCTGACAGATTTCCCTATTTAGTCGTGCCACAAAACTTCATCATTTCAATTTAAAACACATAGTACTCCATAAATATGGGATTAAAGTTGTTTTTCTCTCGTGTGCATAAATCTCAACAACTCAACCAATTAGTTTTTGCCTAATTATTCTCTGTATACGTGTAAGTCAAACTTCACCAAGTTTGAGGGCGCTAGTATTACGAATGAAAATGTCAAACAGTCAAATACAACATGTTAGATCTTTGTCCAGATGACAATATTATTGTAACATGTATTTTCACAAGACATCATTCCTAGTGCATGCTGGCATTATGATGACATTACTACAAGATGACACCTTTCCGGCTGGTTTTGCCAATTTTGATTTACAATGATGGCCGCCTATGCAGCATGGAAACTCTCTGGGAAAATGATGGTGGCCTATGCATCATGGAAACTCTTGGGAAAGAGTACCTTTCCGTTTCAAAAATCTACAGGAACTCTTTCGAAACTCTCCAAACAAGCGTTTTTTAAGCAAAAGTTGAAGTTTCATGTTTCCTATTTCCTCAATCACCATATTCGCATTTCCTTGTAACATAGATGGCTGGCTATAGCACGGTCGGCAATATCTGCCAGTGGATAGCTTTTAGCCTATTTTCTTTTGTTTTCTTTAGGAACTGAGGATTACTTGAAAGATACAGGAAGTCAGGAAGAGTTACATTTACTGACCAGTGCCACTATAAACGATGAAAATGAAGGAGAAAACAAAATTACCTGATTCCACTCCCTCCGCTGGGCATTAGCTCCTTGAAAGAATTGGCATGGCTATGTATATAACCCGGAGACCAGGAAGAGTACGAGGGCAAGCCGATACAAGAACTGGGGAGTGCACAGTGGATTTGAGCAGTAGCAACGCAACATCCAGTAGCCATGGACTTGTATCAAACAGTTGGGGCGCCAGAATCCTAGAAGCGAAAAGAAGACTTCTATCGCTGAAATGATCGTTTGGAGGCTTTGATTATGCAGTGGAGTTTTGGAGCAGCCTTTGCTCGGCAAAATATACGGTACAGGCCGGCTGTACAAAGAGCATGAGCATCCGCAGGCATTTTTGTAATTACTTCGAACTTGCAGCCTGATTATTAAGTTTAAGTTGCTCCTTACCCTTCTCCCTCCTGTATCTTCCGCTGCTCCATGTCTCTGTTAGGGGTGGGATTTTTGAACCGGAAACCGTAGAACCGATTGGAACCGAACCGTTAACAACATCTAGGAACCGAACCGTTAACAATTAATGCCTCATTTGTAGGCAGAACCGAAGCGGGTTATAACGGTTCGGTTCCTGGTTCCTATAAAAAATATGTGCATGGAACCGTTAAGGAACCGTTATTAAAAAAAAAAAAAAATATTAGTAGTAGTAGTAACAATAATAATAATAATAATATAGCAATAATAACCACCACCACAACAACAATAATAAAACAATATAAGATATTTAACTAACAATTCTAATTTAATCAACGGAAAAGAAGTAATAAATATTGTACATGAGGTTGATATGATACATTAAACTCCTTTCTACAAATCAAGTTTTGTTCCATCACATAAATTTTGTAAATATAAAATAACCCAAATAACTTGTAGTTGATTGCACATATTTTACTTTACTATTTTCGTGATATTTCTAATTATTAGATTTATTATGAATCAATAGAATGTAATAATGTTTTTTTATATCTATACATGCAAACTCAATGTCTTTTTTTTATGTTTTGAACGACTTGAAGTAGGCGTCCTATTCTTGCTACTATGATGACGAGTAACCTTCATCGCTCCGACACTACAACAATTTTTAATGTTTCATTTATTACATGAAAATTTAAATCACTTTTGTTCAATTAAGTGTTCAAAGTTCATTAGTTAAGTTTGAGCTTTGATGTTTGAAGTGATTAGAGCTTCAAATAAAATTTTAATACTTGTGTTTTGAATTTTCGACGTGTTTAAAATTATGTGTTAATTCTTAGACGAGAAAAAATTATTCTAGGAACCGGTAAAAGGAAGAACCGAACCGTTTACTACCGGTTCGGTTCGATAACGGTTTTTGATTTTTTATATAGGAACCGAACCGATTTCATTAGTTAAAACTTTTATAACGGTTCCACTCATTTTGAGTAAGAACCGAACCGGTCCCAGCCCTAGTCTCTGTGGTTTTACTTTTTTCGTTTTGTTTTGTGCGTAAGTTACTTTTGGAAAATATAATCATGTTCTTATAATATTTAAACATGCCGACTTATTTTACATTATACTCAATTTAGCAGGGGCGGACCGTAGTAGAGATCCAGGGGCAGTCGCCTCTCCAACAATTTTTTTTAGTGTATATATATATATCAAAAAATAATTTTCGCTCTCCCTAAAAATAATTTTTTTAAGTTACTGCCCTCCCAAGATTAACTTCCTGGGCCCGCCCCTGCAATTTAGTATAACACAAAACTCATAATAGTAAGTAGAATACAATAATTGAGAAATTAATAAATATTCATCTTAAGATTAAAAAATAAAAATAAAAAGAGAAAACTGTCAAATAGGCCCATGTACTCTTACCATTTCGTCAATTAAGCCCTCCTACTCCCAAATCACCCAATCAAGCCCTTTTACTTCCAAAAAACACCCAATCAGGCTTTTTAGCCGGTTACCAGCAGGTCAGGCCGGTACCCGCTGACCTGGAAGCATACGTGGCAAATGACTACCCGACCACTTATCCTACGTGTTATCCCGCTCATCTCACCCTGAAATCCAACCCCAAATGCAACACCGCCAATCCCTAACCCTAATTCTCCATCGTTCTTGAGCTTCCTCTTCTCTCTGCGATACGTGTGTCTGTGAATAACCATGTCATGTTCATCGACCTCAACGGGTAGCAGAGAACGAAGTCGGACGATGGACTACGAGCCTCCTGTCTATTGTTGGTGTGGATTGAAAGCCCCTCTTTGTGTTGGACGTGAGACTGGAAGAATGTTTTTCGGATGTCAAAAATGGAAGGTAATTCATTGATTTCGTAGTGTCGTGTTCAATTAGAGTGTGAAACGTAATTTTTTTGGGTGCAACACATATATATTAGCATTAACTAAAACTATGGTGGTGTTTTATGATGGTGTACGTACAGTTAGGTAGCTGTGGATATTTTTTATGGAAGGAAGATGCTGCAAGAAATGATTTGATTAGGCCTGGAGTCGAGGAAGCAAATGTGAGGCCTATAGATCAGAATGAAGTGTTACATGAAGTGAAAATACTAGTTCAAGGCCTTGTCCTGCAACTAAGCCATGTAGAGGAAAAGATTGGTGCTGTTAAAGCTAGTGTTGATGATGAGGCAAAGGTCAACAAAAAGAATAGGAAGCTGTGTGCTTTTGCTATGTTTGTACTTCTTCTGTTAGTAGGAAGTATGTATTTGAGGTTGTAATAAATTATTGTAATGGCAGAGATGGTAGGTTATGCAGTACTTGTTGGTTAGTTGGGCTGGATTGTTAAGTTTTAGCATTTTGTTTACTGGTGAAGTGCTGGAAGCTGTATTGAATTTTCAGACTGATTTTTGAGATCCTAAATTCAAGGCTTGGAAGCGGTGTTTTGTTCTCCTTTATTGTGTAGTTTGTTAGTCCCCTGTTCTCTTTTTTTTTGTGTAGTTTGTTATTCCAGTACTTGTGGCATGAATGTGTTATAGTTTTGTTCATGCTGATAGCTTTGTTCTATTGAAGCTGTGGCATATAGACATCTGTTGTTGGCTGATAGCTTTGTTATATTGTTGGTCGATAGCTTTGTTCTAGTATGTCACAGTTTTCTCTTTTCAGTATGCATAATGCATACTGATTCCTTTATATGTACCGAATAAAGCAAATAACATATACCTTAAAGCATGAATGTACTGAACTCTATATGATCTTACAGTAGCACAAAGCAAATAGCATAAACCACAAAGCATTATGTAAAAATGCCTTATACATAATGTTAACACAAAGCTATTTGTGTTGATGCTTATATAATATGTTGCTTTAAAGAATGATTACTTATACAACATTATTGTTTATCAACGTGCAAAAGCCAGGCTAGCATAATGCATTCCTTCACAATATAAACGCTTTAAAAGTGAACCATAACATTAAAATTCATTCATTCATTAATACCAAATAGAAAAGATATGGCTTTAAACCCAATATACACATTGTTTAGGTCATACATCCAAAAATACAGAACCTAATGTTTGCCTCTAACTCCAAAATACAAAATATTAGTGCAGCCAAATACATCAATACAACTTTGCAACATAGGCCATTGTTTCATAAGTTTGCACATTACAATAGCTACTTTAATAAACATCTTCCACACCAGGTCTTCTCCTAGTTTACCCCCTCCACATGTTCTCCAGAGCTGCCTCCTCGCACCAGTGTTTCCCCAATCTGCCCGGGCTGCAATCACAGTTATATTCAAGCACATTTTTTCAGAAAAAAGTCAAGAACCAACATTAAACAATCTATTCCGAAAAAAACTTACATCCAAAATAGTTTCACCAGTTTGCTCATTAAAATAAACCCCATACCCCCTCTCTGCCCCCCTACCCCTATTACCTCTCCCCCTCCTACCTCTTACACAGTCTTGACTCCCCCCCCCCCCTCTCACCTCTCCCACCCCTTTTAGGTCTTCCTCCCATGTCACCTCCCCTCCCTCTGGCACCTCTCCCTCCCCTCTCAACTGTCTCCCCCATGTCACTTCCACCTACCCTACCCCCTGTATCAACTGTAGTAGGTATTTCTCCATTTGCACAAGACTTTCTGTTATGACCTTCCCCTTTACACTTTGAGCATGTCATTATTCTTCCTTTCCTTGGCAGATGTGTTCCTCCTGTAGGTGCATGGCTTTCTGATTCTTCTCTCACCCTTTTCTTCTTTGGTCTTCCACTCATTTTTTTTAGGCAAGGGAGGATGAATCTCTTCATACTGGTTTCTTGGCCACAACATCTCACCATTAACTGGATGCAGAGTGAAGGAGTACGTTCTTACATACATTTCCTTGGAGTAACATGAGTGGACGTATACTTCAGGGTCTTCTCCTTTATCCAGGATTGCACATATGGCATGAGCACAAGGAATACCAGTCAGATCCCATCTTCTACATGCACATGTTCTTGCGTTCAGGCTAACCTTGAACTGAGACCTTCCTTTTTTTAATTTCATAGACATCATCTCCATTAAAGTCAACATTCCAGCCTTCACTTGATAGTATGTTCTTGTTCAACTTCTTCCACTGTTCTAAAAATCGGCCTAGGCGGACCGATTAATCGGCCTAGACGGCCTAGTCGGCCCTAACCGTAGAGGCCTAATCGGCCTAGTCGGCCAAAAAATCGGTCTAGTCGGCCAAAAAATCGGCCTAGTCGGCCGCCTAGGCGCTAGGCGCCCCTCAACCGCCCGACTAGCGCCTAGCGAGTTTTAGAACAATGACTTCTTCATTATCAATGGTCCAAATGCACCTGAGAACACAAACAATAAACAAGTGGTAAACATTAATGCTCATATCTGTAAATGAGTGATAATTAGTGTTATGTAGGTTCCCCACCTCGCCACTTCTTCACATATTTTTTCTTCTTGGCTATTCTTTTCATCAAAGCCACTCTCATACACTCTAGCACTGGGATTAATGGCTTGTCTCTGAACTGCACCACTGTGCTATTGAAAACCTCACTCAAGTTGTTATCAACACTGTCACACTTCACCTCAGTCTTGAAAAAGGCCTTGCACCATAACTTCAGTGGATTTTTGCGCAAGTCTGTACCAGCTGCAGCATCAAGCTTGTCTAACTCACTTAAAGAAGCCTCTAGTTGAGCTTTTGAGGTAGACTTTGCACACTGCCAAAATAGTTTCTTCAACATCATGCCTCTATGAGTTTTGCTCCAGTTCGCATGTATATGTCTAGCACAATTTCTGTGCTCAGACTGAGGTAGAACACTCTGTATTACATTAGCCAGGCCCTACACAAAAAGGCATTCAACTAAATGAAGAGAAGGAACAGTTTACTGAATGCAAAATATGGTCCTATCAATGACCTTGTCAATATACTCTTCATCAAATATGGTTATATTAATGACCTTGTCTCTATAATCAATGCAAAAGATAGTAATATTCATTATGCA